GGTGCCTCCATCCCTTGAAGATCCAGCTGTCTTAGAAGAAAGATGTCTGCCTAGCTTTGTTTTAAAGTAAAGAGGGAGAAGGGAAAGAATAGTGCTGCTTACTTTTTACCCAATAACCCAACGGTAATCCAGAAGTAGGATCTGCGTCTGCCCTTGACTCATTTTGTTTGAACTCACATCTCTTCCTTAGAAGACCCCTTACCGCCTTCTCATAGGTGAGACACATCTGAAGGCATCTTCTACTCTCCTGTAGCTGAGCCACTAGGCAGACAAGAGTGAAAGATGCATGGCCTAAGATGGAGAGCAAGTATGAATGATCCTGATTCCCATAAAGGAGTGTGCTGCCTGGGCAGGAGGGAGCCCTGGGTTCTGGCCCTCAGCTCCCAGTACTTGTTATGCATAATGCATGAAATAGTAATCAAATAAAAGATAAGCAGCTGAAGCTAAGGGGCCTAGGACCCAGGTGACCCATTTCCTGAACAAATGCCTTTTGTCACTGAAGTATTGGGCAAAAGGTGAATAGCAAATTATCACTGTTAACAGTGTTGGAATTTTTTTTAGCCTCCAGTTAAGGATTCATGGAGTTTATGCCCTTCAGCAGGTGGAACTAGTTCTTAACAGAGCTTAGATGGAATCAGATGTCTAGGTTGCTGTTCTGGATTGCTTCTGAATATTTGCAGTAGGTCAAAGTTGCCTAAGGTTTTTTTTGTGCCAACACAGGGATGCATAAGCAATCGAGGTCCCTTAGTGGCTTTGTGGCTGGCATGTGAAATGGAATAAGGTCATATTTCATGACATGGAAATATAAGTATGCAAATACTACTTAGACATCTTGGAGGCAGAATAGAATCAGAGTGTTTTGTACCTTTTCAGAATCAAGCTACTTATATTTAGGTGTTAAATATGGACTTGAACTGACTAACTTAAGGCACCCAATTGTGCATATTTGGGCACCGGGTCCTGAGCTTTAAACTGTTGTCACTTACCAGTGTGTACGTGGGTATAATGTAGTATGTTGTAGCACAAGACACAGCTCCTTGCCTATAAGTAGCCCAGTTTTTTATTATAGGAACAGAATATCCATGGAAAATGAGAGCACTATTTGAAACACCTCGAGTCCTCAGCTTGACAAATGTTATTTTGTTTTGTATCCAAATGCTTGGCCTAAAAAGGTGGAAGCTCCACCTTTTTATAGAAAATGCTTCCTTTGTGATTACCCCACGGTCATAAAACTCCTTAGCTTGGGTCCATTTTATAAAATATTTTCCCAAGATGCATTTCTGGTAGCTGACATTTTAGCATAAAAGTGCCAAATATTTGCATCTCTAAGGTGGCATTTTGCATCTATTTGCTGCAGCCTCACTTCTAGGTGGCTAAGATGCTTGACTTTTATTATGTTTTCCCCTTGTTTTCTCCTTCTCCAGTTCTTGATTAGATGACACATCCTCTCACACAGTAATTACAGAAAGCTGTAATTCTAAGAAATAAACATCCATTGTGAAACTATCAGTGACCAGACTATGAAACCCAGTTGAGTAGCTCCCCAGATACAGAAAATGATAGGCTGCAATGTACTTTGATAGCAGAATTGTATTTAACATCACATGAGCACTTCATGCAAATATGCCACCTTTAAGTTACAGGTTACAGTAATATGTAGTATTACAACAATGGCTGTCCTCAGCCAAAGCAATGGATTCTTTCATAGCTAATGGAGATACAGAGAAAGGAAAGAACTGGGCAATTTACTTTTTCCCCAGAGCAACTGAAATGTCACTGTCCAGATAAGGAGTAACAAATACTTTAATTAAAGCTAAATTGAAAGCTCCAAGTGGGGCACCAGGACTTGTAAAACAGAGATTTAAAACCATCACGGGTTAGTCTTTAAAGTCAAGACTTTTTTGATGCACTCATGCAAATACTGCTGGTGGCAGCTTCTGTAGAAACCTGTAAGGAAGTGAGTAACTATCCAGGTTGAACACTGTCCAAGCTGAACACTGGGCTAGACTATTAACAGTACCCAAGCTAAATATGTTAAAACTACCTTTGGTATGTCTTATGTGATCTGCAGTGACTGATCTCACTACCACCCCTACAACTCAGATGGTAGCTACAGAAAATTAGGCACTATCCTTGATTATATTTTTAAGCTAGATATTGTTGGACATGAATGGGAGGCATCTAGAAAACCGTAGGGCTGCAGGTAGAATTGTTGATGAACCAACAGGCCACATTCTTCCTTGTGAATTTAGGGCTGAGCCAATCATAGTATCATAGAAAATTAGGGTTGGAAGGGACCTCAGGAGTCCCATGCAGGACCATTCCCAACTAGATAATCCTAGCCAAGGTTTTGTCTAGCAGGGTCTTAAAAATCTCCAAGGGTAGAGAGTACATAACCAGTTCCAGTGTTTTATTACCCTCCTCCTAGTGAGAAAATTCTTCCTAATATCTAACCTAAACATCTCTTGCTGCAACTTGAGACCATTGCTCCTTGTTCTGTCATCTATCACCACCGAGAACAGAATTGTGGTGGAAAGCATTGTGATGTGAGATGTGCCATCTTGTGGAGAAGTAACATCAAAGTACCATAACCCTTGCAAGAAAAAGTGTGTTCACCCTCATATCCTGGAAAATTCCACTGTGGGTAATTACACTGCTACCTTAATCACCTTGCAACTTTAATCAAATGGAGGAGCCTTTATCATTTCTTTCTTACACTATTATGTTCAATGTACTGTTAAACAGCTGCCACGTTCCATCACAGAGGTGAACTTCAGCAGAGTATGTGGTGCTTGCCACAAAATCAATGAGACTAGAACTCAGGCCTGGACTCATTTTTTATATCACACTTCAAATCCTTTATGCTGAGAAGTGTTATGTAAATGCAACATACTAATGCCCTGAACTGTCAGAGCGATAATTTTCTGAATTTTATATGAATTTGATATAATTGGTTTTAACTTTTCTAGATGAGCACATATTTTAGTGCAAATAGTGCTAGTTAGAACTTAGATGCTATGGTAATGGGTGTTAAAGACAAAACTTCTGAGAGAGAAAGTGAGTGCATTTGGAGGGTAAGATGTGTGCCTTAGTTATTCCAGTCCCTTTGCTTTAGAACTGTAATGCAAGGGGAAGATTTCACTATGAATGTAAGATGAGGGAGCTTATTAAAAGAAGTTAAGTGATTTTTTTTATAATTCCTTCTCAAGATGCAGATTTAATAATCTTATTTTTTAATCCCTAAAATTTCGAGTGAGTGAGTCACAGTTTTGTATGATTATTTTTTGGGAAGAAAAAAGTCTGTATTTTTCAAGTGACAGCATTCTTCCTTCTCTGCCCACTGATAACAAAGCACTGTCAATCACATATATGACTCTGACTTCAGGAGAAAGTGGTCACAGATCTGGACTCCCATCTACAGATTAGGAAAGTATTGCACTCCCTATTCCATTTCAGAGGAGCTCAGCAAACTTCTCATGTTTGCTATTAGAACTATAGATAAAGCAATGCTTTAGTTGATCAGTTCACATGATGCAATAAAAAGAATGGCTTTTAACCTTAGTTTTTGCTTCTAATTACTTATGTTATATCCAAAGTACATCAGTACAAGAAATATTTCAGTTGAAAAACTAATTGTATCACTAAATGTAACAGTAAATCATAGAATCATAGAAAATGAGGGTTGGAAAGGACCTCAGGAGGTTGTCTAGTCCAACCCCCTGTTCAAGGCTGGACCATGCCTGAGTAAATCATCCCAGCCAAAGCTTTGTCTTAAAAATCTCCAGGGATGAAGATTCCACCACCTCTCCGAGTAACCTGTTCCAGTGTTTTACTATCCTCCTAGTAAGAAAATTCTTCCTAATATCTAACCTAAACTTCCCTTGATGCAACTTGGGACTG